ATTTTACAATCTTACAAAATATGCCTATTTTTCAATTTGAGACGTTGCCACGGTTCCTATGGACTGGGAAATAGCTGTGGCCCCTAACGCAGTCAGAAAATTATTTCAAATCAAACCAAACCTAATTTAGTTCTTTCCTAAGTAAAGTCTTTCTGCTGACAGAGTCTCAGGCAAAATTATTTTTCACGCAAAAATGACCGGGTGGAAATAAGACAGACAGCCTCTTAATAGGGCACGGGACCAGCGTGGCCCGGACCCTACCTCTTTGTCTAGGGATAGTTCCCCCCACTTAGCCACCTTTATGAGGCCTGCTGTGTTACTGATTTCTGTCATTACCTCCACCCCACTACTCCGGGGTTCGCCTGGACAAGATGGGACGGGAGTTTGGCATCACATATTGACCTGTTCGGGATTCCTTTTGCGTTGGTCCCATCACTGTCTTCTTGTTCTGTGAATGTCTGTCCGTTCTCGTACCATTGCAGCTTGTGTTTGTCTGTGTCTTTTCCTGACATCGTCCCACCTGGCCCAGGCTACTGGAAGTTGAATACGTCAATCTTAGATGATCTGGACCACTGTCAGCTTGTCTGGGATGAATGGTCCGCTTGGTGTCTTGCCGTCCCCGCTTTCTTTCTCTGGCTAAATGGTGGGGTCAGGGGAAAGGTGGGGTCAGGGGAAAGGTGGGGTCAGGGGAAAAGTCGGATCAAGGGGCTTCCCATCCGTTTTTGTGACAAGGCCCGCAGGACATCTCCTTCAAGAGACGCCCTGGTGCGCCTTGTCCAGCACCTTCAAGAGAAAGTTGATGCTGGGATAACTCCTTGTCAGGACCCTCTACGGTCAGCTATGTCAGAGCTTGCTCGTTTGGACTCTCATACTGCAAGGGAGGCCCAGGTGCGGGCTAGAGTGAGATTGGTTCAAGAGAATGAGTCTTCCTCGCTGTATTTTCTTCGTTTGGAGAAAAAACGCTCTGATGACCGTCATATCTCTGCGCTGAGAGAGCCTGATGGCTCAGTTGTTTCGTCTTCTGCTGCTATCCGCGCTTCTCTTAGTTCTTTCTATTATGGTCTCTATACTGCTTCACCTACAGAATCCCATGTCCAATCCTCTCTTCTTGGTAACTTGTCTTTTGTTCTCCCTCAGGATCAGGCCAACACTTGTGAGGGCCCTCTTACACCATCAGAGGTCCTGCATGCACTTAAGGGCATGGCACGTAACAAGGCACCTGGCTTAGATGGGCTCCCAATGGAATTCTATCTCCGCTTCTGGGACGTGGTTGGCGCTGATCTTGAGTCTGTACTCAATGACTGCTCTTTTTCTGGCTCTCTTTCCCTCTCTAAGCATAGGTGTGATCACTCTGTCTTTCAAGAAGGGGGACCGCCTGGATCCCAAGAACTGGCGGCCCATATCTCTTCTCAACGTAGATTACAAGTTAGCATCGGGGGCCATAGCCGGGCATCTCATCCCGGTGATTCACTTTGTGGTCTAACATGATCAGACGTGCGGGGACCCTGGCCGTTTCATTGGTGAAAATCTTGCTTTGCTGAGAGATGCTGTCAGTTATGCCGAGTCTTCTGGCACCCCCGTCGCCATTTCATCTCTTGATCAAGAAAAGGCTTTCGATCAGGTGGATTGGGGCTTTATGCGGTCCACTCTGGTTGCCATGGGTTTTGGTCCTTCCTTTGTTACATGGGTTGACTTGTTTTATAGTCAGGTACAAGGCGCTGTCAATGTGAATGGGCACCTCACCCCTTTCTTTAGTCTTTCATGAGGTGCCTTGGCAAGGGTGTCCTCTATCTCCACTCCTGTATGTCTTAGTATCGGAGATCCTCGCCTATAGCATCTGCCCAGACCCCCGTATTAAGGTTCTGTCTCTTGCGGGGTGTACCCCGCTGTGTCCCATCTTGCAGTACGCGAATGACACATCATTGATACTCACCTCAGATGCAAGCGTCTCGGCTGCCCTTGAGATGTACAAGCTCTTCGAACTGGCTTCTGGGTTAAGGATTAAGCTCTCCAAATCCAAGGGTGTCTGTTTGAGTCAATGCCAGGGTTACACGGACCCCCAGTTCCTTTTCACTAAGGATCGTTCTTATATACGTCTCATAACCGCAGTTCACTCATATGTTTCATATGTTTGTTGTAGTTCGATTTATCATCTACGGGTTTATATCGAATTAATTTGATGACCTGCTCCCAGTTGGCTTGTTAGCTCAATTGGTAGAGCGCTGCACTAGTATCGCAGAGGTCAGTGGTTCGAATCCCGTACAGGCCTGAAATTTTTTTCAGGTCTGATTTCCACTATTGCTCAAATAGTGCTTTACTGCGAAGGATCGTTCTTATATACGTCTCATAACCGCAGTTCACTCATATGTTTCATATGTTTGTTGTTGTTCGATTTATCATCTACGGGTTTATATCGAATTAATTTGATGGCCTGCTCCCAGTTGGCTTGTTAGCTCAATTGGTAGAGCGCTGCACTAGTATCGCAGAGGTCAGTGGTTCGAATCCCGTACAGGCCTGAAATTTTTTTCAGGTCTGATTTCCACTATTGCTCAAATAGTGCTTTACTGCGAAGGATCGTTCTTATATACATATAACTATCATAGTTATCATGACTGTTGATATTTTCTATATTAACATAAATATTAGGGTGATTTTGTGGATGTTAATATCAGCACAAGAGTGATTGTACTTTACATTGCAGTCAGAGTGAAATATGGTATTTCACAAAGCCGTGGCATTGTGGTATTTGTTCTGGCCCCTTGCCATAGCAGAAACATGCCACAGTGCGTGGAAATCTTTGAGGGTAAGCGTGATAATTTTGAAATTCGAAATCTATTTTGTGGTAATGTGAATGACACCTTTCATTTTTAAAAGTGTATCATTTGTCATTAAGGTCGTGACTGGGGTAGAATAATTTGCAAGCTCTTCTCTTTGCTTCACCAGTACTCTGATTATCCATAGATTGTTTATGATACCCCCCCTGCAAAAAAACCCAACAAACAAAAANCAGACCCCCGTATTAAGGTTCTGTCTCTTGCGGGGTGTACCCCGCTGTGTCCCATCTTGCAGTACGCGAATGACACATCATTGATACTCACCTCAGATGCAAGCGTCTCGGCTGCCCTTGAGATGTACAAGCTCTTCGAACTGGCTTCTGGGTTAAGGATTAAGCTCTCCAAATCCAAGGGTGTCTGTTTGAGTCAATGGCAGGGTTACACGGACCCCCAGTTCCTTTTCACTAAGGATCGTTCTTATATACGTCTCATAACCGCAGTTCACTCATATGTTTCATATGTTTGTTGTTGTTCGATTTATCATCTACGGGTTTATATCGAATTAATTTGATGGCCTGCTCCCAGTTGGCTTGTTAGCTCAATTGGTAGAGCGCTGCACTAGTATCGCAGAGGTCAGTGGTTCAAATCCCGTACAGGCCTGAAATTTTTTTCAGGTCTGATTTCCACTATTGCTCAAATAGTGCTTTACTGCGAAGGATCGTTCTTATATACATATAACTATCATAGTTATCATGACTGTTGATATTTTCTATATTAACATAAATATTAGGGTGATTTTGTGGATGTTAATATCAGCACAAGAGTGATTGTACTTTACATTGCAGTCAGAGTGAAATATGGTATTTCACAAAGCCCTGGCATTGTGGTATTTGTTCTGGCCCCTTGCCATAGCAGAAACATGCCACAGTGTGTGGAAATCTTTGAGGGTAAGCATGATAAATTTGAAATTTGAAATATACTTTGTGGTAATGTGAATGACACCTTTCAGTTTTAAAAGTGTATTATTTGTCATTAAGGTCGTGACTGGGGTAGAATAATTTGCAAGCTCTTCTCTTTGCTTCACCAGTACTCTGATTATCCTACATTGTTTATAATAACCCCCGCAAAAAAAAAAAACAACAACAAAGAAAAAGGGAAATGTACATGTCCCAAGGACATTTTTTTTCTAACTTCCATGTTCAACAGACACAAAATTTCCTCTGAAGGAATCTCTGCAAGGTCTTTAATAATCATCCCTACAGCAAGAATAGCTTCAATCTATTAGTCTTTTTAACACTAACATGTTTTGTACCTTGTACTTTACAAGAAGCAAACTTAGATCGTGGGGGCCTTCAAGATTCCATTGGCAGAGCACAGGCTCTATGTTCTGCAATGAGGGATGAATGGTATGGAATGCAAACTTTCAGCTATTTATGTATTCACAATTGAAAAGATTATAAATGTAAAAAATGAGAATGAAAGGTACTGACATGAACAGGTTGTTCTCTTAACAGGAAAAAGTTGGATGACTGGCAGAAACAAAGAAAAAGTCAAGAGCTACAGTACCAGGTACACAACATCCCCCAGTTTTGAATTCAATTTAAAAGGATACACTTGCAAAATCACATTGTATTAATTTTACTCCCTGTTATATCCATTAGAACACTTTAAATGCAAAAACAGGGATTACAGTCCAGCCCCAGCAATAACACCAACAATGCAGGCAGCTCCCAGGAAACCAGCTCCAACAATACTGTAAACAATCAGAAATGTACTCCCATGAGTTATCTCAAAGGATTTAATTTTAATGCCTATTATATCCCTCAGAACACTTTAATTTTTAAAACAGGCATTACAGTCCAGCCCCAGTAGTAACACCAACACTGCCACTAGCTCCCAGGGAACCAGCTCTAATAATATTGTCAAAAATCAAGATAAAACCTCCGTAAGTTATCATCTGCTTTCTCTCTACTCTTAAGTTTAAGTATATGTAAAGGCTGATAGTTTCGAAAGAAACTGTTTGGGGCTGCGTCGGTGGGAGTAATGAAATAATTTGGATATATCAACAAAGTTGAAATGGTAAATTGGCCACCGTAATGATTACAAAAGCTGACGTTTCGAGCGTTAGCCCTTCGTCGGAGCGAATAGAGGAATTGTGGGTTGTGTGTGCTTTTAAAGGCAGAAAATGGAGCTACGTTATTGGTGGGNACAATTTATTTTTTTAAACAGGCATTACAGTCCAGCCCCAGCAGTAACACCAACACTGCCAGTAGCTCCCAGGGAACCAGCTCTAACAATATTGTCAACAATCAAGATAAAACCTCTGTAAGTTATCATCTGCTTTCTCTTTACTCTTAAGTTTAAGTACATGTAAGAGTTCGAAAAATGAAGAATGAAATGTACTCACATCAGTCATCTCAAAGGAAACACTTACCAAATAGTGCTATTTTAATTTTAGTCCCTAACTTACCCATTAGAACACTTCAATTTTAAAAACAGGCAATACAGTCCAGCCCCAGCAGTAACACTAACACTGCTAACAGCTCTCAAGGAACCTGCTCCAACAATACAATAACTGTAAACAGTCAGGATAAAACCTCTGTAAGTTATCATCTGCTTTCTCTCTGATCTTAAGTTTTGATACATGTAAGGTTTGGAAGCATTAAGAATGAAATGTACTCCCATAAGTTATCTCCACTTAGTAATAATCTAATGTTATGGTATGTTAAGACTATACGGTGATTTTCCATTTCAATATACCTATGCAGGCAGGTTTGTTTTATAATAATTGTGCGCACTGTGTCCGGCATTCTCTCTAATCTTAAGTTTAGGTTCAGAGGAGGTTTGAAAAAATGTAAGAATGAAGTGTACTCTCATTGTTTAACTCAACTAATTCATAAACTAAAGTGGTGTCAAGTGTATACAGTAATTTTCCATCTAAATATACCTTCCCACGTATGTTTATTTTATAATTGTGTACACTGTGATATGCCCTGTCATAATAATATCGGTCATAATAACATTTGTCTTTTATAGCAAATAAGGGCTCTATGCAGGGGGAGGAGGACAGCACCACCAGCTAATGGTGGTGGAACAACCATTTTCATCCATACTGGCAATGGAAAAAAGTTTTCCAGGGCCTTTGAAAAAAATTCCTTTTTCCAGGTAACAATATAATGTAATATATACTACATGATACATGATGATGGTGGTGATAGTAAGTGATGCATGTTTTCTTTTTTGATGATATGAAAACAATAAATAGAAGTCTAGGACTGGATTGGTTCGCTCGTTAAAGTACCACTCCACTTCACGCTACAGAGAGGAAGGGAAGTGGTAAGGCACTCCGATTGTCTACAAGGGGACGAAGTCCTGGACCTTTTAGAGAGGGTATGTTTCAATCAGAACCCACTTTAAATTTTTCAATGTCTTGAAATAACGTATTCACATTGAATCCAAAGTTTGTTCCGAAAATGAATTAACTCTTAAATCTCTAAAATTATTAAATACCAAAAAACAGCATGGGCTAGGGTAGCATAATAAGTTATTTTAAGTGTGACCTTTCATCATAATGGTCTCATTTTGTATTCTTTATCAAATTTTCAGAATACCGAGGAGATGACTACCTTGGAGCTGTCACTGGTAGGTGCAAAAGTCATTTACTAGAAAATAGGGGTTTCATTCTCAATTTCAGATAAAATGTCAAGTTTCTATTAAATGATGAACTCTGTTTTAATTAGGAACTGCACTTGTATTAACATATTAACATTGATCAGGTATCATTAAATTATTCCCCTTCATAAACACCCCAGGTGACTTGTAAGCCAGGACTTGTATGACATGACATTTGTAAATTATTCCCCTTCATAATCCCTCGAGGGCCACTGTTGACAAGCTCTCCATGAGCTGTGTCCAAAGGGGTATGATCTAAGGATACCAGGTCACAACCTGGTTACGACCTGGTATCATACCCCTTTCTAATCCCCCCATGGCTGCCGTTGACCAGCTCTCTGTGAGCCGTGTCCGGTTGCAACCTGGTATCCTTAGATCATACCCCTTCTTAATCCTCCCAATGCTGCCATTTACCAGCTCTCTGTGAGCCGTGTCCGGTTGCGACCTGGTATCCCTCGATCATACCCCTTCTTAATCCCCCCAAGGCCGCCATTGACCAGCTCTCCGTGAGCCGTGTCTCGTTGCGACCTGGTATCCCTAGATCATACCTCTTCGTAATCCCCCCAGGGCTGCCGTTGACCAGCTGTCCGTGACCCGTGGCCGGTTGCGACCTAGTATCCTTAGATCATACCCCTTCATAATCCCCCCAGGGCCGCCGTAGATTACCTTAAGCTTTAGTTGATATTTGATTACATCAACTTGGAATTATTTACAACAATCCTACAGTTATATTAATATTAGTCTACATTAGCCTTAGCCATACGAATATTATACATTGATATTATATTAATATTAAACCTAACTATTTTGGAATGACTTATAATATAACCTTACATCAATATTAGTAATATTTAATAGTTGTGTATATTTAAGAACTCTAGAAATTTGGACTATTTATTAAATAATTAGTTGGGGCCAGGCCCACATGCATTAGCACTTTTCTTTTGTAACTTTGGTGGTTTTTTATGAATAAACCCTTTTCAAAACTAAAAATCTGTTCTTATCTTGGCCAACAGCCAGAATATTCTCATCCTTCATTTGTTGGTTCAAGTCACTGGATACTTCACACCATTTGCAGACACGGTGAGTACAGCAGTTTGTGTTTTGCTTGCGGTTTTCCAACCACAAACAGCCAGCGATAGCTCTTACCCTCCCGCGCCCTGTGTTTTCCCACCTGCGAACTGTTCGTCTCGTCATTGAAGCCGACATGAAAATCGACTCGCTAGAAATAGCAAGATTGCTCCTTGACTTTGGGGAGAAAATTAAGGGCATTGTCCCTCAATTCGGAGGCCAATGTTTACATCACCCTCGCTACAGCCCCTCACACCGCTTCAATGGCCCAAGCCGGGTTTGACTACAGCATGGAACGAAAACCATTGCGACTGCTGGGCACAAAATATTTCCATGTATCAATCTTTGTCTCTGTGGAGTTCCCCAACGAGGATCTCCTCAAGATCTTAAGCTCCTATGGCAAGCTGAAAACGAACGAACTCCACCGATTCTACCACTCAGAGGAGGGTTATCGCCACATTCAAAACGGCGTCCCTGTCGCAGAATTCAACAAAATCCATCGCAACATTCTCAAACGCCTCATGGTTGCGGGAATAGAAATGGGTTTCAAATACTCAGGCCAGCCAATGACGTGTTAACACCATCATTGAACGGAGCACGTGGTGAAAAACTGCCCTAAGAGCCCTTGAGCCCCCGCACTGCCACCCCCTAAACCCGCTCAACAAACCAAGCCTTCACCAGAAGTTGACAACGACATGAACAAAGAAGCCAAAAAGCAAGCACACGCACCCTGTTCGCTCCCCAGCAACTGGGGAGCAGACAGTGAAAACCATTTTCCTCTGCCTAGGCTGCCACTACCCAGCGGCATAAACAGAATGCCCCTCCCCCTGCGAGCAGTGACGAAGAGCTCTCTGTACCATCTAAGCCCTTCGTGCTAACCCAGTCCCCCAGCCCAGAAACTTCCCAGTCAGCGAGCAATTCTACCAACACCACCCCCCTCGCAGAAAATTCACCCATCTCCTCAGTTGACAATGCCTCACCACCCACCCCACCAGAAAACCACACTGCAGCCCCGACCTCTAACCTTAAAGCTTTTCTTGATCCCATAAAGCGCGCAGCTCCTAACCGAAAGCTGTTTTTCGCCTCGGTGCCCGGGCCTTTTAGTACAGATGCCGGGCCTACTCTCTGCATCACCAGCATGGAAATTATTCGAAGTACAAAAGGCCACAAATTTAAAATTTCCCCAGCAACCCAGGAACTATGGCACAAGCTCTACGACACAGTTCAACATGACGCTTTTGCTCTCCTGTTCGCATTACATCACAAGGCCCAAAAGGTCAACAAAATCTTTTTAGAGCAGTAACAATGTTTAAGTTTAATTTCCCCCTTTTTCTTTTTTTTATGGTGGTGTCCATTTGTACGATAAACGTAAATGGCATCGCCGAATTTCGCAAACGGGAAAAAGCTTTTGCCCACGTGAAAAAATACGATTTCAACATCTGTCTCCTACAGGAGACACATTTATCAGATGCCCAGAAAGGCAACTTCTAGGCAAAACAGTGGGGCGATCACATATGCTGGTCTCCAAGCACAACGCCATTGTCCGCCGTGGGCTTCCTTATCCATCCAAAAAGCAAACTTAAAATCGAAAAGTTTTCTACAGATATGGACGGCAGGGTTATCGCGGCTAGGCTTTCCGAGCAAGGTTGTTCGGTCACTGTTACACGCCTAACAACCATTCTGACTGCATAACATTGTTTGCAAATTTCTGGCGTTACGCCCACCGCAATAAATACAATATTGTGGCAGGCAATTTTAATTGCGTTCCGAACACCCAGCTTGATAAATGGGGAGGCGATAATAGCTTTGCGGACAAGAGGATTCCCAATCTCCACGCACTGACGGATCTACTTCGCCTCCAAGATATTTTTCGCGTTCAAAATCCCTCACTACAATTGTTTACATGGTATAATGGCCCACACTTGGTCGGTTGTCGGCTAGACCGATTTTATACACCTCGTGCATGGAGAACGGATGTGCGTGACCACAACAGCGCTCTATTCCCCTACTCAGACCATCACCAGCTGTTTCACTTTACATTTGGGGAATTCAAATCCACGCAGCCTCGGGATTTGGAAAGTTAACACACTTCTGTCAAAATCGGAAAACTTCTGTTCACACGTGGAAAATTTCTGGTCCCAATGGTGCTCTCAAAAGCCCCTCTTTACCAACCCTCGGGTTTGGTGGGATGCAGAAAAATTCCAACTCAAAGAGCTAGCAATCACTCAGAGTTACAAACCGCAACTAACCGCAGACGCGAGCGAACCGCTCTCGATCGGAAATTTCGTGACTTACAATCACGGGCTGATCCTCACAATGCCAACCACCGTCAAAAACTTCCTCGAGATCAAAGATTGCGCGAGAGCAATCGACAACAATTTCAATTCTGGCTGCATACTCCACAGTAAGGAGGAATGGACTGAGCTGGGAGAGAGGCCGACCAGGTATTTCTACCAGCTTGCACAATTCCGTCAGTCACGGCACACAATTCACTAATTGCGTGGGACTTTCAACACTACCGAGAAAACCTCCCAGGGCATTCTCCATGAATGTACGGCCTTCTATAAGGAACTCCACACTGAGGAGCTGCTCGACCTCTCATGCCAGGACTGGCTCTTAGAGCAGCTCGATTCCACTTTGTCATCTAAACAGGAAAAACTCTGTGAAGGTGACCTGTCATGCGATGAGTGTCACGCTGCGCTTTCCTGAATGGAATTGGGTAAACCGCAGACGGTTTCCCAGCCGAATTCTACCTTTTGGGGATCCTTGGGGCCAGACCAAGTGGATACGCTCAACCTTTCTTTCCGGGAGGGTTTTCTCTCGGCCTCACAATATCAGGGTATCCTGCGTTTGCTCTACAAAAAGGACGACCCACTGTCTTTAAAAAATTGTCACACAATTTCACTTTTAAACCTGGAATACAAGATTGCCACTAAAACCTTGT